CCACTTCATCCACCCTGCTTTGATTCTGTGGCTAACATCTTCATCAATGTCCCCGTCCCTCTGTAGCATTGATCCTAGATATCGAAAGGTATCCTTCCTAGGCACTACTTGACCTTCTAAACTAACATCTTCCTCCTCCCGAGTAGTAGTGCCGAAGTCACATCTCATATACTCAGTTTTAGTTCTGCTGAGTCTAAAACCTTTGGACTCCAAAGTCTCCCGCCATAACTCCAGTTTCTGATTCACTCCAATAGGAGCAACTCCAATAGCTTAGCTAAAATTCGTAGCCAAATTCTATTGTTTAGCCACTTTGTAAAATAGAAAACTTCTTAAAAAAGATAGGTCTACAACAGTTTTGCTATTTTATAAAGTCAGATAACGAGCGTCCGTGATTGACTTTATATAGCCACCGAAAATTAAGGGATAGCTAACTTTATACTCAAAATAAATGTCGTCGTTGGTATGCATGCCATAAGTTTGACTCGATTTATAGAAAATACGTACAACATTTGTATCTCAAAATAAATTTATTAAAAAACTAGATTCAAAGATCTTTCAAATAATACTAATTATGTACCATAGCTATTAATATTTTTAATATATATTTAGTCGAAGTTATTTCTCGAGAAGCCAAACGACAGATATTTAGAAACAGATTGAGTATTTTACAAAATCAGATAGCACATCTGTTGGAGCCTACCTTTTGTTATACAAATTCTAAAATATGCTCTACAACAAGAATAGCCAAACTCTTGGAGTTGCTCTTTGTATTGACTTGGTAGTCAAACATATTTGTGATAACAACATAATTTAACATAGATATCAAATGGTTCTACAGCAAGAGCATTTTATCATAGATTCATACAACCAATAGAGAGTATCACAGATGAGCCAGACAGGAACGAGAAGGTTTGATCTATGATAATTTTTTTTTGCATATTTTATGATCACGGTTTTTTTTCTCATATATTTTAAATGCCTGAGCCCCCCCCCCACCCACCCACCCACACACAGAGACGAGATCTCTTCTCTTCATAGATAGGCCAAGTTTTATGACAAAATAAAATCTAGAATGACATGCATGATGAGGAAAATACAAAACAAGCTTTGGAAAAAAGGCCAGCATGGCATATAATCATTGGCTAAAACACTGAAAGAGCCAGAATCAGCTCTACTTTTCAACCATAAAATACTATTTTTCTCTCACAATAAATCAGCCGCAGCCATAATAAGTTCTGCTGAACAGAGCCAAAGTTACCTTAGTCTCCATGAAACTTGCCAAGTCATAAGTCTTTCTAGCTATCCTTTTCAGTCTACTGCGATGGTGATAGTCCTGGTCTTGTCTCTGAGTTCCCATCAGTAGTATATATATGAGTATATGACTTTCCAACTTTTTATCACATCTTTATTGGTCTAATTTAAAAGTATCTTCACACGAAGATTTTCCTCTCGATAGATTTCTGCGGAGACCGCAAGTGACAAGACAATAATTAATATAAACAAAACTGGAGGTAAACGCCGACCAGAATTTAAATTTTGGAAAAAGCGAAAGGATATGAACCTTAGGGCTTCAAGAACGTGCACATAGATTTCACCCTTCGCAATTTTTCATACCAAAGATATGCCACCCTTTTCAGACTCTATTGCCTTTTAGTTATTCTACAATTTCGTGCCAGACAATACATCTTCAATCAACGTTATTGCGGAGGTCACTTGATAGAGATAGAATTTTCAACTGTCATGGACTGAAAAAAAAAACTCGACCAGCCGGAGGTATAACCTCCCCCAGGACATTGTAATTAAGGTAGGAGACCTCAATCATGTGGCCGAGAAAATCTTCGAACCCGGCTTTTGTCACCAAGGGATTATTTTTTACAACATATGCCATGAGCTACCAACTTCTAAGCAGACCTATTTAAATTCACTCGCACAGAGAGTTGAACCCAAGACCTTAGGTTTTACTCAAGCTCTTGTAACGACTAGGTTACATAGGGGAGTAGGAGTATTTGACAACTTCACTTGACCCTGGAGGTCCTTGGACGTTTGTTTTTGCCTATGTTCACATTCCCCCATTCTTTATACTGTTCATTCACTCTATCCGTCACTACTACATTAAAAAAATTATGCGAGGCATTTGAAAAATGGCGTCGAAGGCGGGCAGGCATTTGAATTGCCTCGGTTAATGTCTGCGATTAACCGAGACGGTCATTTTTATTAACCGAGGTGGTCACAATCAACCGCCTCGCAAAATCGATTTACGAAGACAGTTAAAAAAAATAACCGCCTCCAAAAATACCCCTATTTTTTGAGGCGGACCTCCTAACTTGTCCGCCTCGGAAAAAAGGTCGAGGCCCAAATAGGCCCAAACCGAGGCCCGATAGGCGCTCAAGTATAAATATCTAACCTAGGGTTTCACTCAAAGCTCACCCTCTCTTTCTTCCTCTCCCTCTGACCGAGGAGCGCCGCGCCCCCTCCCCTCCCTCGCGACTCTCAGCGTCGCGCCCCCTCCATCGTGACTCCGAGCTGCACCGCGCCCGCTCCCCTCCCCGAGCAGTGTCACGCCCCCTCCCCTCCCCGAGCAGCGCCGCTACCCTCTCCTTCTCCCTCTCCCTCTTACTCGCTCGGCTCTCCGGCGCGGCGGGCGCGGCTCTCCTTTGGCAGCGGCATGGCGGGCGCGACCCCTCTCCCTCATCCCGGATCCGGCCGGATTCATGGCGGGCGCGCCACCCGGCGGCTGGATCGAGCGGCCGGATCCATGGTTGGCACGCCCCTCGGTGGCGGATTCCGGTGGAGGGCGGCCAGATCCATGGCGGGCACGCCCCCGATGACTAGATCCGGTGGAGGGTGGCTGGATCCATGGCGGGCGCGCACCCCGATGGCGGATTCCGGTGGAGGGCGGCGGGATCCACGGCGGGCGCCCCCCGGTGGCTGGATCTGGTGGAGGGCGGTCAGATCCATGGTGCCCCCCCCCCCCGTCGGCGGATCCAGGGCTGGCGCACTTCTCGGCAATGAATCCAGGGCGGTCTCGTCCTCCAGCGGTGGATCCAGGGCGGGCGCAGTCTCCGACGCGAATCCAGCAACGACGACGGCCGATGGCGGCGCTTGGATGGGCTCGGCGGCCCGTGGATGGTCTCGGCAGGCCTGTCCACGGGGTTTTTTTCCTTTTTTTTGGTTTTTTATTTGATTTATCGAGGCGGGCATCGAACTGCCTCGGAAAAGATCCCATTTACCGTGACCTCTTGACCGAGGCGGTTGTGATGCCCGCCTCGGTTAATCATTTCTGCCCGTCTCGGTAAAGTTTTCTGTAGTAGTGTGTGTTAAAGTATGCCAAAAGAATTATATCTTTGTTCAAATGTGTTTTGTTCAGACAAACTCTCTCTTATTTTAATTTCAAGAAAGCATAACCAGCTTTTGGAAAGAAGACATTCCGCACATGCCAAAACACACTAATCTTAGCTTAGTCTCCATACTGGAGCATTAGTTTTTCTAGCTGTTATTTTCAGTCTTGGAAGCAGTGGTGATTGTCCTGGTCTCCTACGACATCTGAGTTCCCATCGTCGTTATATGACTTTGCCACTTTTTCTCGTGTTGGTCGGTCTTAAAGGATCTTACGCCCCGCAGAGATTTTCTTCGCAAGAAATTTCTGCCGCGAGACTATACCGCGACTTCTGACATAAACTACTAAAACCTAGGGTGTTTGATCTAGTGACTAAAATTTAGGAAGTGTCATATGAGGGTGTTGCATGGGGTGTTCATATACTAATAAAAAAATAAATTACAGAATCCGTCAGTAATCCACGAGACGAATTTATTAAGCCTAATTAACCCGTCATTAGCGAATGTTTACTATAGCATCACATTATCAAATCATGAATTAATTAGGCTTAAAAGATTCGTCTCGTAGATTAGTCGCAAACTGTACAATTAGTTTCGTAATTAATCTATATTTAATACTCTATGCATGTGTCCAAACATCCGATGGGACATCGACTAAAGTTTAGACCCCCTTATTGTAGTTGGTTAGCTAGCCCATTGCCTAAAAGGCCCGATTGATTGGGCTCCTAGAGCATCTTTTAGACTGAATTAAGCATTTTTTTTTGGAAATCTCCAACGAGATCTAGAGATGAGTACGCCATGGATACCACAAGATGCATTGTTGCATCTTTTTTTTGAAAGGATGACAAAAGCTTTGTCGTTATTTTTATTAGACGAACAGAAACAAAAGACAAGTGCCGACCCAATGCTTCGGTTTGTATGTCTGTGTGCATTTACCATTTCTAGAGAGTAGCTAAGGCTACTTGGTAGGATTGTTATAGGTTGCAAAACTCTTTATGGGTGGGAAGGTAGATACACTTGATAAACTCTAAGTGCACATGTTGTTAGTTACTTTATCTGTTTAAAATTATACTTACTTCCTTACAAATTATAAGATGTTATGGTTTTTCTATTTTTTCACAGCTGCGCCAACTAGCATGTATTTCATTTAGAGGGTAGCATCACAAACACAAGGCAAACCGTGGGTTGCCACACTCAAGGATGAAATAGAAAAGAAAGGAAAAGCGGCAGGAAGCTGGAAGCGTTATGGACTTATGGCTTTTCTAGATAAATAGCTTTTATGTATCTAGATAAATATTATATATCTAAATATATAGTAAAAGCTATGTACTTAGAAAAATCAGAACGTCTTATAATTTGAAATGGAGGGAGTAGTTCACTTTGGTTTATCCTAACTGAAATCGTGCTAACTTTAAGCAAACTTTTGGGGAAAATGTATTAACATCTATGGATTCAAATAAATGCTTTATCAAAATATAGATATCATAGCTAATTTGGTGCTGTCGTTGGTGTATTTTTTATCAACCCCATTCACCTTGGTCCTCTTGATCACCATTGCCCTGCAGCTATATATATAACTAGGGCCTCCTTGTGTCTCGCCTTGGGCCACCAAATGGTCTGACCGCAAACTAAAAGAAGAAGAGCAGATTGATAGGCCAGCCAGCATGACAGAGTTTCTAGTGAGTGCTTCAACAGGGCCAATGAATTCACTCCTCTGTAAGCTGGTCACACTACTTGGTGACGAGTACAAGCTACTCAAGGGGATCCGCAAGGAGATCAGAGCCCTGAGGGACGAACTCAGCAGCATGAACTCCCTGCTGCACAAGCTCTCAGAGCTCCGCGATGAGCTTGATGTCCAGAGAAAGGAGTGGAGGAACAAGGTACGTGAGCTGGCCTACGACATAGAAGACTGCATCGACATTTTCATGCATCAGCTTCGTCCTGGCGGTGGTAGCAAGAAGGCTGGATTGATCCGCAAGCCCACCATGAAGATCAAGAAGCTACGCCGGGGCCGCCGAATCGCCATCCAAATCCAAGAACTCAAGTCCCGTGTTGTGGAGGAGAGCGGTCGACGCGATCGGTACAAGCTGGTCGACGTGCCCAGTTTCAGCAAGAACAGGCTGGTGGAGATTGATCCCCGGCTGCCTGCAAGCTAAAAGCCTTGTTGGCATTGACAGTCCCCTAGACAAAATCATCCATTGGCTAACAGATCAGAAAGAGGGGAAACAACTCACTGTGGTATCAATCGTTGGATTCGGAGGTGTTGGCAAGACAACACTTGCGAACCAGGTGTACTGCAAGATCAAGGACTCGTTTGAATGCAGGGCGTTCGTGTCCGTGTCCCAGAATCCTGATTTGTTGAGAATTTTGAGTGATATGCTGTCTCAACTTGGGTGCTGTAGGATGAGAAACCTGAATGATCAGCAAAAGCTTATAGAGAAGATTAGGGAACGCCTCTCCCGCAAAAGGTACGCCTATTTTGTTCAGTTTTCTATGATTGATCTGTTTATGGAACTTAAATACTAAAACATTCTTTCTACCAACTCGCTTCTCTTGCTAACTACTATTGTAGAGTGGAAGGATTGACAATAATTTGACCGCTGTTATGTGTAAAAATATTAGATTCGATCATTAAGTTTATGTTTATGGAACTATTTTACTACTCACATGCATGCACATAAGTCAGAACAAATGAAACTCAATTTGTTTGGATCTCATCTACCAATAGATGAGGTCACAAAAAGTAGTCTTCACCTAGTCCTTGAAAAAAAAATCTCGTTTGGATGTTGCAAACTGATTTGGGTTGGACCCAAATTTCTTGACATGAAATTCATGGTTTTGATAAAACTTGTTCTTTCCAAAATTTGGATGCCATGTACTCGTTACATGTATTTTATTAGTTATTACTTTCTGACCGTGTAAGAGTAGCTTCTGTAGTGACGACTACATGCAACCACTTTAGTTTACCCAGTGCTGTAAATGAGATATTCTGTGAACTCATTTTCACTAGAACAACCTAACATTTGGTATGAACTTAACTTCCTAATAGAACCAATTTTCTGATCTTTGTGATCCAAGCAAGCCAGAATTATTAACAAGATCCGTTGACCACCTCACATTCATTCTAGTACCACTCACAAGTTCTTCAGTTAGTAAATTACTCTCTAGTTCAAAAACAAAATTTTCTATGAGATTCATTTATGGGAATAGCCATACATTGGTTCGAAGTCATGACTACCTAGAGCATAGCAACTTGGAATTGAATATACAATGATTCATGAACCATGAAGGACCAAGAAGTACCATTGTTATGGTTAAATTGTGACCATATCCAATGGGACTAACTAAGTTTGCTAGCATACTAAATTTTAGTCCTAGGGATGCAAATAGATGGACTTGGGTGAAGAAACCTCCAAGGAAGACCAAGAGCATGAACTGAAGACCATAGAAGGTGTGAAAATAACCCAAGACATCGTAGAAGAGAAGCCTAAGCAAACGTTCAAATAGACACAAAGCAAAACACTGCATGTGAGCTTTTACCATAGGTCACAAGATAATCTAGTGCATATATCCGGTGTCAACAAAGAGCATATAAAGTCAAGACCAATGTCATGAACTCATTGGATGACGCGACGCTAATGAGGAACACACCAAAGCTTAAACTTTCGATACTGTGTTGGTGAAAGTTTGTCACCATATGTTTCGGTGCAACGCTAGATGAAATCACTAGAGTTTTTGTCTTGAGGCTCGGGAAGAAGAAGCACTAGGCTCACCGGATGTTCGGATGATGAGAAATTGAAGGCCACCACTATTGTCCAGTGATTCTAGAAGAGGGCAGAAGATGGCGCAAGAGGCACAATAAATTCTAGCGCCCATTGGGATGGTCCACTAGACCATTTGGTGATGTGGATAGGGAAATACCTACGTAATGGTCAGTTGCACTCATTGAATGATTTCAGTGATGGGTACTTAGAAATACTTACATAGGAATTGCACCATTTGTTGCAATGACTACTTGAGTGTGAGGGCATACAAATATATCCTCACTAGGATTTTGAAGGAGGTTAGAGAAATTGGATGTTATAGGCAAGATTCACACTCGTATTTGAGAGCTCTATCCAAAGTGATCAAGATAAGAAGAATTCAGCTAGTGCTAGGTTTAGTGCTACTTTAGGCCTATTAGCCTAGTACTTTAGGTGTTAGACTAGAGTTAGGCAAGGTTTGCATGCCACTTTACTTGTCGATGCTTGTGTGCACCAAGAGTTGTAATCTTTACTTGTTGATGCTTGTGTGCACCAAGAGTTGTAATCTAGGGCTTGTAAGTCTTGTGAGAGCTTCCAATCATGTTTGTGGAGTGACTATTAGTGTTGTGTGAGAGAGGAGAGGCCCTTGGTATTTAGCTAAATCTCTATTGGGTGAATACAATGGAGAAAATTCTGGGAGAAGCAAGGCAGAGACCTACTTGCACATGGGGAAGGCTTGTTGGCTATTCATGGAGTTACTTGACTAGGAAGTTGGCCCTTGCAAGGGCTTCCTTGTAATGGTTCTAATGGGGACCAGTGGAAAGCACGAGTTCTTTTGGTACCTCACTAAAAAGTCATCATGCGGGTCCATTGTAGCCTACTCTTTGCATTCCACAATACCTTTATGCACTCTGTTTGTGGCTTTACTTATTGCATTTTCAGTTGCTAAAATTGGAAAGTATGATGCAAAACTTTTGTATAGTAGAGATAGCAACACTTAAAGGAACCTAGTGCACATCTAGATAGGAATCATGTAGCTTGTTATATGTGTAATACTAGATGTAAATTTTAGTAACCCTAATTTAAACCCTCTTACCCTCTTAGGGCATCACAGTCCCAACAAACAAAAATATAGGTGATTACATATGGCATACGAGGGTTGTTGGGGGTGGGGGTGGTGGTTAGGGTGAGGGCAGGGAAGGAGAAACTAATCTACCATGATGCAAACCTCCTGCATGTTTTTGGTACATGCTATGCTATATGTGCCATGTATGTTTAGGGCAGCTCCAATGGTGACTTATGAGCTAACTCTAAGCACATGTTTCATATTTTAATAGAAGATAGAGAAGCTAGCTATCTCTTGGTCAAAAGCTAGTCTCATGCACACATTCCAAGATTATGTGAGTGTCATGTGGCACTATTCATGTTATGAGCTATGTGTTAAAAGCCAACACCGTTGGAGAAGTTGTCTTAGAGCCAGTAACTGGCTCATACTATTGAGGGTGCCCTTACAACTCAAAAGATCCATTGGGTTCACTATTGTACTTTTCATACTTTGACATAATTCCTATGGCAAATGTTTGGTTCACTGTCATACTTTTCATACTTCGACACATTTTCATGTTCTCAGATGTATGATCATGGATGATTTGCTTAACACTCAGTTAGCCATTTTTATGTTGTGTGACTGACACCTGATAAACCTGAGTTACAAAGCTATGTCAAGCTTTGCTCAATAGATATTTGATAGATCCATTTGAATCATGGGACTAAGCGAATCATTGTCAAAAGTAGAGGAGCTCAAACTTCCACTAACAACATTCCTATTGTGTGATGTATGCTTGAAATAAAGAGCTCTTTTTAACTTTACACAATCCAAGCTAAACCAATGTTGAGAGATCCCTACCAAGGCATAGGATCGAGGATAAAAACATAATAGATGATTGTCTTATTATCTTTTCATCCTTCCTTTTGGTCATATAAAAATACTTACAGATTCTTAGTGAAAAATAATTTTGCAGATACCTCGTTGTAGTAGATGATATATGGAGCATACAAGCATGCGATATCATCAAATGTGCTTTTGTACAGGACAGTGATGGAACCAGAGTTATAATTACAACACGAATTGAACAGGTAGCTACAACATGTTGCTCTTAATAATTTTGCAGACTATTCTTTCAATGAATATTAGGTTCTGAAGATGCTTGCCCTGAGCAATACCAAGCAGTTTCAGAAAAAAATCTTAAAGAAATGTGGAGGGTGCCACTTGTGATAATAAGCATAGCTAGTCTTTTGGCAAGTCAAGAATGCTTGCATAAGGAAAAGTGGGAGAAGATACAAAAATCACTAGTTTTTGAATTGGAAACCAGTCATGATCTTGGGTGGGTGCGATATGTGCTAAACCTTAGCTATAATGATTTGTCTCATTCCCTTAAGACATGCTTCTATATCTTGGCATATATCCAGAAGATCGTAAAAATTGAGAAGGTTAATTTGCTAGGACGTTGGATAGTTGAGGGATTTGTTAGTCATGAACATGATTGGGGTCCAGAGGAAGTTGCAGAGAGTTACTTTAATGAACTTGTGAATAGAAGCATTATCCAACCCGCTGGATTTGAATATGGTGAGTTAACATATTGTAAAGTCCATGATATATTGCTTGACTTTATTATGTTGAAGTCCATTGAAGAGAATTTCATCACCAGAATGGATGAGCAACATAGCATAAAAGGACCTCATGAGGTTCATAGGCTATGTTTCCAATTAAAAATGCACACTTGTTACCTGCAAACATGAAACTCTCAAAGATTCGTTCAGTTACCATTTTGGATATCCAGATTGTATGCCTTACCTTCCAAGATTTCAACTCTTGTGAGTTTTGGATCTATATTATTGTGATAAATTTGATGGAAATGAGTTCCTCGACTTGTCAGCCATATGTAAACTCTTCCATCTAAGATATTTGAGGACCAATAGCCACCAATTACAACTACGCAAGCAAATAGGGGACCTAAAGAATTTGGAAACAATGGATATTAGAGATGTAGTTATCTATACTATTCCATCAGATCACTACTATAGATTAATCTTTCATTGTCGCCACTTTCACTATCGTAGCGATAAAAGTGACGGTGTTATACTTCCACCGCCGGTTGAACCGATAGTGAGGCCTCCTGCGGAAGGAAACCGACAATCGAAACTTCTACTACCGATGGGTTAACAATAGATGCGGCAGTGGTATTTTCTCATTCGTATGAAAAGCCGAGCCGACTGGGATACGTGTTATGGCCGTCGGCCCTCCACGACTGTTTGGTCTTTCAACGGTGAAGTCAGTGTGAGTTATTTCCCAACTACCCACAACACAGTTGCATCACTATTACTTGCACTTCTCCATCTTCAAGGTTGACCTA